CTCTTTTTCGTTACTGTCTATAAATAATAAGCAATGGCAATAAAGGTACTGACTCAAGTACAAGGCGATATAACAGTTCATTTTAGGTTTTTTTTATGCAAAACTGTCAAGATAACATGCCACTTATCATAGCAGAACCTGAAGAAATGTCATTTTTCGCCAAGCAAATTTTATACACTACATAATGTGGATGTGTTTAGTAAAATGCTGGTGTTTTCTTAATAAATTCTTCTATATTCATTTCTTTACAATAAAGTGAGAATAAACTCTTCTTGGATTATAGAAGTGAGTCAGGTTTTCCTCCCAGTGAGTCAAAGGCATTGGATGAATAATTCAAATTAATCAGCATTTTATTTTTTCTGAAAGGAAATATAATAAGGAAAAATATTCATTAAACATACGCCCTTGTTGACTGTTAACATCCTCTCTTGAGAATTCAGGGACTGGTGTAATATTCCTAAATAACTTTATTAAAGCCTGCACCAATTTTCATTCTGGAAAGAGTTTTGTCTATTGGGAAACATATGGTATCAAATAACAATATTTAGCTATTCTTGTTTACTTCTATTGAAAAAAGTATCAATTTTAATCAAATGTATTTAGCAATAAAATGTATCACCCTAAGCAATCCTTTATGCATCTAACCTCAAAACAACCAAAAACAAGAACAAAAATTCAGAATGGGTTAAACAATTACTAACAATGCCTTCACTAATATCTGATAACATTTAATTATATAACAAAGAGCTAGCACACATATTTTCCTCTGACAATCAGGCCATACTCGGTGGTCAAATTCTTTCCACAATCATCACAGAAGTAACAAGCAGGCTAAGCGTTTTTTGGCAATGCCAAGATATCCATTAAATGCAAGTGGCATGGTTTTAAAATCTTTCCCTATATATTCAGCAGATTGTGCTTTTCTCTATTTATAAAGCACATGCACTGCAATTTCACCATAATTTACCATTGTCAACATCTGTTGTTCAATGAGTCAGTGGAAAAAGAGGGGTACTGTTACATCCACTATACATTTTTTGTAAACCTCATCCTGAGGTGACAAAAATGCAATGGTGACATGGAGACCCTTGTCCAAAGTGCTGAAACTGTGTCTTTTAGCATTCTGAGGGTAAATATTAACCATTTTAATCATTTGTACCTTCATAATTTGAATTAAAAAATTAAAATAATATACACTATAAAAAAATAAGTAAATCAATAGGTAATATGAGAGAGTATCCAGGTCCTTATGGTTATGTTGAATGACTCTGAAGACATTTGTGATCATTGCATGTCAGTTGGAAAAGGTAGCAAGCTCTCCTAAACTGAAAAGCAAATATCTGTGCTTTACCATTCTCCTATGTTACATAAAAATGACATGTATAAATATTTTGTTGGTTATATTGAAGTTAATATCCAGAGATGTGCTAATTACATAATTAAATTGGAGAAATTAAAGGAAATGTTCTAGTTCTAAACTCTTTTTAACAAGAAAAAACTATTGGATAAAAACATATCCAACCAAATTAGATATAAATGAAAGCAAAAGATGCATAATGTTAGAACAGGATACAAAAGCAAAATGTTACAGCGTACCAAACCAACACATCTCCAAAACAAAAAAATATTTAGCACTTTGGAAGGACTCTTCAGTACTAAAGTGATAACAAAGAAGTTCTACTGCTATGCAGCAAACCCAAAGCTGAAAGTAGGCTTAGCAAATTATTGAACAAGTATTGAGAAACAAAATGAGTAAAAGAGAAATTCATAAATAAATGATAAAACGAATCTAAAATATTTATATGCTGCTTTGCAAATACTGGCAGATGTATCAAAAGGTTAATATTAGGATCAATCTTTTAAGGGGCTGAATCTCATACTGTGCACTAATTCCCTAGTTCAAATGTTACTTATGAATTATAGAAGCTATCTGAAGTATTACGGTAGAATAAATCAGTGCTGATGATACATGAATGGACAGCATATAATTCCCAATATTATTCAAAGTGTATCTAAATGCAAAGCTTTTTTTTTGTTTTAGGTGGTGTGCGAAGGGGTTTTTAACCTTGTCACATTTATTCCATGGGCTGACTCACGCTCTCTATTTGTCCTGGTAATCACTGAAAACTCAAACATTTGAAGTGTCACCAGAACAGAAAGAGAGGGGAAAGCTTTCACTGCGGATACTTGCGAATAGAAGATTTATTTTGTTTCCTGATGTGTCTATGAGTCAGGAAATGAAAGAAAACTCCCCAGTGAGGGAAAATGTGAAAAAAAAGAAAAAAAAAACCTGAGAGGAGTTTTCACCCTTCCACACTCTATCCAAAACTAAAAATAGGTTTTTGGTTCAGATATATTTTAACATTAGGGGAAAGAAAATATTTAGCATCCTGATTGTTAAGGACATGTAAATACACTGATGTGTAATCAAGGATGTGTGTTTGAGCATTGTTTTCTTTAGAAATTACATAGTTGCATTGTCAGACGGCTCTTCAATCAGCAAGAAGTATGAGCTTCATTGATTGATATTTTTCTAAATGTCATAAAATATTGAATTAAAATAAACCCCACACTCTACAACATTTTCAAAATCAATCAAATATTGTGTAACCTGTCCGAGCACTACCATGTCAGTTTGAGTTCATGAAATTCATTTGGAAACAGTAGTAAAATGCCCATATTATTTGATATGTTGTTTCAATATGATTGGGTTATTGAAAAAGACCAGCTTTCTCATAACTTTATTATCTCATATCATATACTCATATCTTTATTTAATTGTGTATATGGTGTTGTTACAAAAACATACACTATTTTTTAGGGATGCACCGATATATCGGCCGCCGAAACATATCGGCCGAAAATTGCACTTTTGGCTAAATGCTGAAAGTGCCATTTTCCTGCCGATACATCGGCGCATCCCTGCTTTCTTTCCTCCCCGCTGGGTGCTGCTCTGTGTCCCAGTGGGGAGGAGAGAAAGTGTGACAGCCGGCCGAGCGCTGCGGAACAAGAGCGCTGTGAGCGGCCGGTGTCTCTCCTCCCACACCGCTCGGCCGCCTATCACAGATCAGCAGAGCGTTGTGGGAGAGGAGATAGCGCTGTCACAGGAGGCTGTAACAGCGCTGAGTGTTTGTAGATAATTGAGGACATGGTATGGTTAATATATCCTCAATTATGAATGAATGGGAATTGATCTATATCCCCTCCTGTTCATTCATAATTGTAGTTATAGTAAACATACTATATTCTCAGGTTATCAATGAACAGGAACACTCATAGAGGATTCCTGTTCATTGATAACAGGGGATACAGAAAAAGAATAAGAGTGACATTTTGACAGCCACGATCCTACCCAGCCAAGAGATATTATAGGAGTTTCAGGTATTTAAGAGGTCCAACGACGTTTGAAAAGTGGGGGGTAATTGGCCTAATATAGGGTGTTGTAGGACTTGGTCAGGAAGAGAAGTCAAAGGAACGCTGAGTAGTAAGAAGAGTTTAAGGACACAAGGAGACATTGAGGGCCTTGGACTTCAAGGTCAACATGCAAACACGAGACGATGCCAAAGGCTGATAGAATCTTTATATGGTTGGGGATAAAAACCACTGGGTTAGTCAGTCAAAGAAGGACATGATCAACAAATAAGCATAGTTTCTGACGGTACCTAGCCACCTTCACTCCCTTAACGTCAGGAGACTCCAAGACCAGGTGAGCCAGAGGCTTGATTGCCAGGTCGAATACAAGCGGAGACAGTGTAAGAAAAAAATATAAAGAAAATTAACTTATTCTGTGCCAGTCTGGGAAATACATAGCATCATCACTAATTTCAAACTGGTATTCAATGAAAATGCATGGAAAATTGACATTTGGTATTATTCATTTTCTCATGAAAATAATGAATGCTGAGAAGGTGAACATGCAATCTGGTGCAAAGAAATAATAAATTGTGTAATGCTATGGATATGCATATGTTCAGGAAAAAAAAATCTACTTGTCAATTTTAGACAGGGAAATACCAATTATTTTAAAAATATAGACAGTGTTTTTCCTGGATAAGACCAGCATTGAGGGTGTCTGACCATCCTCTGTCCATCCTGTACATGCACGCTCAGACAATACAAGCATGTACAGGATGTTCCTGGACTAATTGCTTGAAGCCCATTTCCACAATACACAAAAAAATACTAGTCCTATCCCATTCCATCCCTATTTATTGTGCTGCTAGACTTTTTCTGAGTACTGCAGTGAACTCTGCAGTTTTTTTGTTCAGGGGTGAAGAATTCCAAACAAAATGTGTAAGCTGATGTTGGGCTTACAAAAATCTATGATTAATGGCTGCCACTGCTAACTTCCCTCTCAAAAATCTAGTTGCCTGCATGTCTCTAATTTCATTGCTTTCTGAGCCATATACCCCTAAGAAGTATGCAACATGTATAGACAGAAGCTCTTGTCTGTACACTTTCCTGGGTCAGTGACTCAGAAAGCGATGAAGCCACTGGGTCATCATTATAGCTAGGTAATTAGAATTTTCCAAAGGTGAAGTCAGCAATGACATCCTATATTGTTTTCAGTTAGATTGCCTACTACTAGGCAGGCAGGTTATTAACACTTGAATATCTGACCATCATTTCATGTATATAGGTGCCTTTACCTGCTCTTTTTTTTTGTAAATGCTTACATTTTGTCAGTTATTTTGCCCTGCACTAAAATAGCACCTGTTGTGCATATTGATCAATCAGGTTTCTCCTTTGCTTCTGTAAATGGAAGAAGTAAGTTGATTGGTCGCTCAACCTGAATTTACAAGGCAGACTTCACTTTGTATAGACTGGAAAACACTTTCCTTTGGGATCATATTACATATGTTAGTGCTATGTTTAAATAACATCTTACATTTCTTTTACTTTTTTTGCATACTTGCATGTTCTTGATAAAATGTGTTAAGTAAATGTATGGTATTTTAAAAAATAGATATTAATATATATATATATATTTGTTTTTACAGATTACGGTGTTTGGTGAAACAGCTTGAGAAGGGAGATATTAATGTATCAGACCTGAAAAATAACATTGAATATGCAGCATCTGTATTGGAAGCAGTTTACATTGATGAAACCAGGTAAAAACTTTATTTTTTGATGATAAGGGTTCCAAAGGGTTCCAAAGGGACAGGGGTAAAAAGGGAGCACACGGTACACCAAAATCAAGCTGTATGCCTTGGTTTTACTTTCATTTTCATGTGCCTGGCCACCACAGCACAACTAAGGATATGCCAACTAACAGAACTAGAATTAGGTTATTATTGTGGGTACTGCAAAGAAGAGACACAAACCTCAAAAGTGCTATCCTCAAGAGTTTACTCATACCATGAAGCAGCAAAGATCCTTCTCTTCCCATTTGTATCCGTTGTTCAAGAACCATAGTGAAACATAAAGCTCAACTCCAGACTTGAATCTCCTCACAAGTGATACCCCCCTTGGAGACAACCAATTTTGTATGATATGCTTACTCTTAATACACTTAATGTTCCAATATCTCCTGGCCAATCTTATGACATGCTGGGCCCTCTTCCTCTTCTCCAACAGTGTGCGGTCCCTGGACATGCTGAGAGTGGTGTTGACGTGATGACTTCAGCACTGTTCTCTGCATCAATATACTATGAATGAAGGGCACTGTGGTGACAGGGATGTGATGCATTACATTCATAGGATGTCCTCAGTCTTTGCAGTTGAATGATGTCGGGCGTCCCGTGGGGAAAAAGAAGAACTGCAGAGCACAGCTCTTGATTGAAGTCTTTGTTACTTTTTTTTTTTACTTTGTTGACTGCCTGGGAGCCTATTTAATCCAAATAAAAATTGTTGGGCTCATTTTAACATCTCTTTGGCGTATAAAAAGGAAGATAACGGGTGGTTAACGGGTGGTCTTCTTTAAATAAAAATTACCGTTACCAGGGTCAGTTTACTTATTATAGCTTCCATTTTGCCTCCACTATAATATGTACAGTATCTATGATTGACAGTTAACTAAAATTCTGTTGTAGTGTCTGCATTTTAGAACATGAAAAATCGAGATTTTTAATAAACATTTGCATTAGCCACATACTTCTCACCAAGTAATTATCAAAGGTGGTCACATATTGTGACTTCATTGTATTAAATTGTCTTTAAATTATAAGCAGTTAAGACTAAGTCCGTGCATTCATTTAAACCATATATAAATAGAGTGTAGACATAATTTAGGATAATAGCAAAAGCAATTTTTAGGCACCACAGGTCATTTAATTAGACACATTATTCTTGGTCATTCATGAGGAAAAAATCATCTCAGAAACTGTTTTTTTTCCTTAAGTCATGACCTAAACTCTTCCCTTGTTGAAAGACTTGTCTTAAAATAGTCCAAAAGCCATACATGGTGATGTTGCCTGTTCATTGTTGGATTCAAAATCTTCACTATGATACTTGGCCCTATAAAGCTAATCCTAGCAATATATGTTCATTGTTATTAAAAGGAAAATTAACTTTAACAGGTTTCCAAGGTTTAAGCTGCATCAAGAAAAAAAAAATCAGACCACTTTATTGAGTTCCAGAATCCTTCAAGAAATGTTTTATAGTTATCACGATGATCAGCAGCACCCAAACAGAGTGACGTTTGTCTTTTGGCAATTACACATAAATGGAATGATTTTGTACTTGCTTGTTAAAAATAGAAAACCCTTGTAACCACGAACTCACAAGAGTCAAAAGAGTATGATGGGTAAAGATATTGGCAGGGCAGTTTGCCTGCATGGGCCAAAACAGTGTCTGCGACTTTATAATTTGAGAATTAGTCGTCATTCGGCTTCCCTATACTCATCCAGGGTCATAAACTAAAAGTAATGGTCAAAAGAACTAGGCAATAGGTTCAAAAGGAAGACATGAATGAAGAGAGTTTCTTAAAGTTAAGTCTGTTCTTTTATTTGGGTAGCTTAAAGAGACCCTTAATTTCAACAAAATCTTTCCATAAGATTATATGTTACATAGTTACATAGTTACATAGTTACTTAGTATTTGAGGTTGAATAAAGACATGTCCATCAAGTCCAACCTATTTGTGTATGTGTGTATGGTCCTAATGGTGTGTAGTGGGTATAGGTCCATGTGTGTTCTCAATCTTAAGAGGTCTTGTACCACTGTATATTACGGTCCCTGAGGAAATCGTCCAATCGCCTCTTGAATTATTTCACTCTCTCAGCCGAAATCACAGTATGTGGCAGCAAGTTCCAGACCCTGACTGATCTAACTGAGAAAAAACCCCTTCGCCCCTTGCGCTGAAATTTTTTCTCCACCAATTTTAATTGGTGGCCTCTCGTCCTTGTCATCGAGTTAATTGTAAAAAGTTTGCTGCTAATGTTACTATCCCCGGTAAACATTTTATACATGAAAATCATGTCCCCCCTTGTGCATTTAGCATATTTTATGTATGTTATTTACCTTGAAAGCCTCCCTTGCATAAATATCCAAAAGCCCTAAAACTGCTGGTAAGTGCCACCATCTTTTGATATGGTCAGCAGCCCTAGTAGACTGTTAATCAAGTGACATTCTGTAGCAGCATTTCCCAATCTTTTTTCAGCCATGGCACCATTTAAAAGTATTCACAATCTCAAGGCACCCTGGCACTCTCAAGGCTAAAATGTAAACAAATGTGAAAACGATGTGTTGTCCCTACAAATCCATACCAAAACATTACTAAAGATAGGGGTCTGGTGTGGATTTTAAGGGGGGGACCCAATGCAAAAACACAAAAAAGTGGGCTCCCTTTTCTTATTAGGAGCCCCCCTTTCACATCAAGAGTGCCCTCCTTTCATTTCAGAATCCAACTGTTTGATATCAGTGTCCCTCACTTCCACATCAGAGTTCCCCTCTTTCACATCAGGAGCCCCCTACTCATCAAAGGCATTAAACTGTGTGAAAATTTCAAATTTCTAAGGAAGCCAGGAGGCACACTGGTTGAGAAAGGCTCTTCTATAGTATTCCCCTTTGCGTCTACTAAAAAGGTTATGCTGGATCAGCATAGACAGTAAACAGACATTCCCAGAAAAGGAGAGACATGCAAGAAGGGAGAAGGCTGTGCTAGGGAATTGACTGTTTCTGGAAAAGTCAGATTTTGGTTGGGTTTTTGTGTATTTAGGCTAGTTTACTTTGTTTTATTTAGTGTTTGCACATCAGTGTTTTTTCCCTTTTGCAGTGTATTTGATTATTTTTTGTGTGCTGTCTTTTTTTTTCTTTTACTCTCCCTGTTCTCATTGTGAGGCTGGGAAATAAATTATACTTTAAAAAAACCAAAAATCATATTATTAATTAATTATAAAGGCTTGCTTAATTAAAAACATGACTTCTGTATGGGATATTCATTCATGTTGATGTCAAGCACCTTATGATAAACATTTCATAGTATGTTATTTATACCAAAAAATTTAGGCGCCTATTGGATACAGAGGATGAGCTCTCTGACATCCACACAGACTCGGTTCCGTTGGAGGTGAGAGACTGGTTGGCATCTACCTTCACAAGGAAAATGGGAATGAGGAGAAGGAGGCCTGAAGAAAAACCAAAGTTTCGGAGTATCGTCCATGCAGTTCAAGCTGGAATATTTGTTGAAAGGTGAGCTATAAATGTTTTCTGTTTTAATGCTCAGCGACAAAACAGACACGACAACATTTTTATGCACTGACTAACACAAATACAAGTGAAACTAGTTTGAAAAAACATGATCCTGGTAATTATTTTTTTAATTTGTTGCAGCCATAGTGACAGATTCTTAAAGTGGTGCTATCAGGAACTACCTGAATCTGTCGCAAGTGTCGGTAAAGCTACCAAAAACTGGCTTTATTGGATTCCCCCAATATAATTTAACAGTAGTTAATTGTTAAACAAAAATATGCATGATAAAATGCTGCAGCGAAAATCTAATTGCTCCCAAGCTAGTTTCAGTTATTTTAATAAGGTAATCCCCCAGTGTAATAACTCATAGGGCATACTTTAATTTAATTTACAGTTTAAATTATACAGATCATTGTTTGGCTAGTTGACTTGACTGACTAAGTTTAAAGAAGAACTCTAAACAATCATTTCTAAAGCTTCTAATGACAGATCAGCTTAGCTCGCTATACACTGAGTGGCCAGTTTATTATGACCACCCCATCAGTACTTTGTTGGGCCACGAGATGACTCCACGAGATGACTTCGTTGGGCTGCCTCGTGACTCCATGAGATGTTGAAAGGTGATACGAGGAATCTGACACTGCACTGTTGCCCTTCTGTTGTCTTGTACCAGTCACATTGACTAGTCGCTGATGGCCACAATTCGCACGTTCAGACCCAGATTTTCGGCTGACAGTCCAGTCTTTAAACACTTTAAGAACAGCTGCTCTTGAACATTTGAACAACATTGAACAACGAATTCTGCTGTTTTGCTGATACTCGCTCCATGCCTCCGAGCGCCAACAATCATCCCACATTCAAAGGCTGTTAAATCGCGTTGTTTACCCGTATCTTCAGAAAAAAATCACTTCTACTGTTGTGGTAAACAACCTGCTTCCCTATTTATAATGGTCTGGCCCTCTAGCAACTTCAGCGTAAAATTATAGCTAATTATAGCTAATTTGCCTACAAACGTCAGGTGGTCATAATAATCTGGCCACTCAGTGTATATACGGTATGATTTGGCAACACGTTTGCCTTAAAGTGATATTAAAAGTGAAAAGGTTTTTAACCTATTTTAAATGTTGATGAAATTACTTACATTGATGCTGCTCCTTGATGTTTCAAAGTTTTAGTTTTCTGCAGAATCAGCTGGTCCCCTGAACACTGGCCCTAACATCCTGTTTTAGGGTGGCTCCTTTCGCTTACAGGGTCCTATAGAGCCACCCTTGTATGTCCTAGTAAGCTGTGTGTATCTTTACAAACACACAGACACAGCAAGGCAAGACACTCCCCTGCTCCTCCCACTGTAAGTGCCTGGGCAAAAATCTAAAGATATACTTTACTGGGCAATGTATATTTGTTTAATCTGGATTCATTATTGAAAAAAGTTTGAAACTTCAATGCTACTCTATTACATGTGGTGGAAAGACTTTTAGTAACCAAGTAAACTGACCTCCTGAACCATGTTTGCTGGTCATTGTGACTGTACAACTACAAACTTCACCTTTATTAATTCATAATATTAAAAGTATTTTAATAATTTTCTCTTTTTTTTAGGATGTACAGAAGATCGTCCAATATGGCTGGTCTTACATATCCCTCAACAGTGATAGCATGTTTAAAGGTAAATTAAGTAAATACGTCTGTGATATTTTCCTCTGTAAAAGTTTAGGCATGTTGTACTGTAGGAATTCAAGAGGACTTTCCAAATTGCATTGAATTTCTGTCCAACACCAGCCTCACATTGACATCATTGTCTATGAACCAGTATGAGGACACTTGTCCACAATATCAAAGGTCAGCCAGATGGTTTTGCTACCTGCAGCAAAAATTGTAAATTCTAAACATTGTGGGTAGACTGGGCAGTGTACCATTGCTATTGCTGGGGTCACCTTACCATTACATCAGTTACCATTACGTGTTTTTATATATTTAGGGGGTTATTCACTAATGAGCCGAAGGCTCCAGTCGTAGCTTTGGCTGATCCTTTGGCTCACTTTGGCCGCCTTTAGATATTCACTATAGCCCTACAGCAGCCGAACCCATATGCTTTGGCTGGGCTGAGCAGTAGTGACAGGCGAAGCGTGGAGAAACGTGGATCTCCACACAAATGACAGCTGGGCGGAGCCAGCCGTGATCTCACGGCTGGCTCCGCCCAGCTGTAATGACAGATCAGCATCCCCTAATGGGGATGGGACCTGGGGACGCTGATCTGTCATTAAACAATAACAACTGGGCATAGCCGGCCATGACATCACAGCCGTATCTACCCAGTTGTTATTTATTGGCCAGGACCTGCTTGAAAACTTTGGCAGGTGCCAGCCAATAGGAAACAGTTGGGCAGAGCAAGCGATGATGTCACCGCTAGCTCCGCCCAATTGTTTTTATATTGCCAGCATCTGTCAGATGCTTCATTATGCAGCAGGAGTTAGTCGCGTGCAGTCGGCTTGGCGTGCATCTGTGCTTCTTTTTTGGGGGGGGGGGGTTTTTAACATTTTTTTGTAATTTTCCTATTTTTTTACATTTCTAAAATAATTTTTCAACTTTTTTTTCATTCATTTAATTTTTTTTCTATTCTGCTCACTACCTCGGAGGTACCGAGCAGAATAGCCGAGCCGAATGCCGCTTGGCAGCATTCGGCTATTCCCTTACTGCCGTTCAGCCCCTATGAGAATGGGGTGAACGGCAGCGAGTGAGCTGCCGGAGCTTCGGCTCAGCCGATCCAGATGTTGGATGAGTCGAACTCCTTCCGCACTTCGGCTCAGCTGAACATCCAGAGCATGTTCGGCTGAACGAAGGCAACCGATGTACGGCTGATTTTAGCTGATGTACGGCTGAAATCAGCCGTACGAGGCTTGCAGTGAATAGCTGAACAGCGTTTGGCTCACTTCACTTGGGCTCGGTTATTCACTCGGCTGCCTTTGGCTAACCCCCTTAGTTTCTGTTTGCATCAGTGTTAGGAACATTCTAATATGCTAGTGACTGTTAGTTATGTAAGATGAAAATTAAAGCATGTTAACACAGCAGTTCATTGGAGACCCCATTGCTAATAATAGTTGACGACATAAACTTCTTTACTGTTTCTCTGCAATCTTCTGGCTGAAACAGATTAGCAGTTGGTAGTAGAGTCACACACACAAGAAGAGTTTAGTTGGACAGCAGCAATATATAGTATGTTATAGTTAGTGAAACACTAAAAATAGAGTAGCATACAAAAGACACATGCTACCAACAGATTCCTATTTTTCTGTCAAAGTAAACTGGGACTTAAAGTTCAGCAACAGATGGTGAGTGAAAGCAAGAGAGTTAAATAATATCTTCATTCAGCGGCAATCTTCTCTTGCATCCTAGTAAATTGTCTCTGGAGAGAGAAACAACTTATTCATTGTCAACCATTTACATCCAGAATATTTACTAATATCGGAACACTCTTCGCCTTACTGTTTTGCAATTGGCTGTTTCAGCTACCTGTCTTCTGTTTAGGTGACCTATTTTCTGGACAACCATTTATGATTTAGTTTAAGAGAGAACCTCCTTCACCTCCATAATGGAAATAATGATCAAGCTATGATTTTTGTGTTCATTTAAAGAGTCATATAACATAAAGTCAGTTCTATAGCATGGTAGGAAGACACTTCAAGTTTTGGGAAGATGTTGTTAGGTTGAACTGCCATCATGCTTTCTATATTCCTGGGCTATGTTGGCAATTGGGGATTTCATCTCCCCACCTGACATAGCCAATGGAAATAAATCTTAGGCTCCATTTACACCTATTGGGTATATATTTATAATACAGTTAAATGTACATGAAACTGCACTCAAAATACATTTTGAGATCCATGCCATTATAGGCAGAACACATTGTAAACAATGGATCAGGATCTGTCTTTATATTTATATCTTTACTGAATATAAAGGTTTACTTTAGGACCCTGACAGATAACAGAATCCACTAGTAGGGAACTGAGGGCCAGGAATCCTACACTCTTGAGAGTGTTGGATTCTGAAGATTGTATTAGGTTCTTTGGGTAGCAGAGCATTTTGCAGAAAAGTGTCTCTAATGGAAGAACTCCTTTCATTGCCAATAGTAATTACATTAGTAAATTAGATTATATTAGAAGAACGTGCACAGTTGCCAAACAAGTTGTCACAAAAGAAATTGTTTGGTATGCTTATATCAACATTAAAGGAGAATGGATCATTTCTGTAGCAAGTAAAACCTTGTAACTGATACAGTTCATATTGTTTAGACGTGCTTACCCTGAGTCTACACCCTAAATGAGGTTCCATAATTTTGTTTTGGAATTTTAGGAAGTTGAAGATTTAGATCAATAAATAGGGCATCCAATAACAAACTCTAGATGAGCGTTAGCTTATCAGCAATAGAAATTATTAGTTTCCCCCCCTTCTAAGGGTCACTAATATTTGGCCTGTTCCACACCAGAGTGTTGCATTTGCCCATCAGATAGAGGAAAGATCTGGATGTTCATAGCAAACAAAAGAAACTACAGGAATATAATTTGAATACACTACACTAAGGGGTCTATTCACGAAGCTACCGAAGGATTTAGCTGTAGCTTCGGCCGATCCTTTGGCTAGCTTCGGCCCCAGGACCCCTTTGGTTCAGTAGAATCAGTAGTGGATCCGGCCACATGCAGAGAGATCAGCGTTCCTGGTTACCTGCTAACAGGGACACTGATCTCCAAACAGCAAACTCTCCCTGGCGCTCCGGGAGTCTCCCACTCCCGGCCGCCAAGGAGAAAAACACTGCTGTTTCTTTTTTTTTTTTTTATTCCGACACAGAGCCGTATCAGAAAAAAAATTTAAACAAATTTCCCGTTGGAATGCATTGATACATTCCTATTGGCTATTTCAATGTGCAATAGCCAATAGTAAACTAGCATTGTACCCGCCCTCTGCTGCAGTTCTCCATCAGGTCCATCAGCAGAGGGCGGGTACAATGCTAGTTAGCGTCGAAGCAAGCCGATGTACGGCTGATTTCAGCCGATGTACGGCTGATTTCAGCCGATGTATGGCTGAAATCAGCCGTACCAGCCTGAAGTGAATAGCCGAACAGTGTTCAGGTCGGTCATTCACTCGGCTGCCTACGGCAGCTTAGTGAATAGACCCCTAAGCACTCACACTACATAGTGCTTAATACATTTGATTGATCTGGCAGATCAAAGCTATAGCATCATCTGGCTAAATGTAAATGTAAATATGGATAGTGTACTTTGTAAATGTAGCTGATTTGACGCTGTATAGAACAGTATAGAAGAACTGCAATAACAAAAGGGATCTTTTTAATAAGTGTGATTGTTATGATGGTGACTACAACAAAGAACAATAAGAACAACAATAATACACATAGTAGTGAACATTGTTTATTAACTTAAAACTAACCTGAGATTTTTTTATTACATAAAACATTTTTGTGCCATACTGACAGATGAGCTGAGGTTTGGACTGAACTGGGTTCAAACCTGGGTTCCTCCGAACCACAGATGGAGCCCCTCCCAAGCACAGAGGGATGCTTCTCCCGTGCCACCCAATCAGCTGCTGGTGGGGAATTTCCAGCCTGCAGTTTGACATAAGCAAAGGGGCAGGATGCAGTGGCATCACTGACCTTATATGGCTATATGCATTTATTACGCAAATGACATCAGCTCAAGCATCCCATTGTTTTCATGCAGCTGCAGGGCAGGGAATGCCCATACCAAAGCTGATTGGGTGGAAGCGCTCATGGTACTTCTTTGTTCGGAGGTGCTCAGGTTCAGACCGGGTCTTGTCTAAACCTGAGCTAATCCCTACTCACAAACAACCGTTTCTACCAACATTGGACTGTCAGTAAATATTTCTAGTTTATTAATAAGCTAATGTCACTTTCTAGTCTTGCTGAAAGGTTCAAGTTGCCTGGAGGTGAGATATTGGGGTTGGTTAACTATAGGCTGTGCACTTTGCAAGGGAATTTGCACTTTCCACTGGAAGTTTTCCCTAGCTTGGTGAATGTGGGGAAATTTCACTTTGCAAAGGATACCAAATCACAAACACAAAGGGGGAATTTATGAACGTACTTGCAACAATATTTTTAGGCGCAGAGGCCAAAACGTAATGCTAACTAACCACAAAGGTTTTATCTCTGTTATGCTTCTTTTTTAAGTGTTCTTGTAACATTTTTATGTTTGCAACTCACTGTACATATTTTCCAACATTTTGCATAATTTATCAACTGTGCGGCAGTTTCATCCAGTATTTGCAACCTTAAAAGACCTCCAAACTATCGCACATCCTAGAAGTGCTCCTGAGCACTTCTTAAAGTATCGCAAACATAATTCACCTTCACATCCTCAAGTCAGCTGAGCACTTTGGGACTATTCAGCTGTCATCCAGGAGGTTCCCAGCAGGTGACAATTTAGAGATAATTCAGAGACAGATACAATTTAGAGACAGTATTCCTTATAAAGGCATTTAGAAATGAAACAGAAAGTTGAATAATAAATCTATTTGGATATACACTAGAAATCAGGGATACAACAATTTAAAAATGCTGATGATGCAGCCAAATTGATAAATTCCCCCCAGAGAGTTTTCCTTGCACGTGATTGGGTACTTTTGTGCAAAGTGAAATCTCACAACATTCACTGACATCATGTCTTCTGCAACAAGGAAATTAATGTATACATTTATCTTTAAATTATTCTGCAAAACCTCTCTGTTGAGGACCACTGCAATCTCCGCTCTAAATGTAGCTTTTAATATATATCATGGGAAATTAACATACATGCTCAAATAAGAGACACTATCCAGAACTCAGTGGATAACTGCCAAGGGGAGCTCTTCAGAACACTTCCATATTTTTAGCCCAGAGTGCATTAAGTATCTTAGTGGCTACACTGTGCTTTTGAGTATGAGAGGAAAAAGGAATCCACCTGGAAAAATGAGGTGCTGCTCAATGATAACTAGATTGTAGGACTAGGTTGTTGTGCATGGTGCCTGGACCAGAAATCATCTGGATTTGCAAATGCAAAACATAGCCTGATCAAGTTTGTGTGCTGTTTGCTAAAATACATATTGCAGTTTGCTGGAGTATCAGACCTCCTACAGGAAACAAACAAAAACACTGTTTGACAAACAATCACACCTTCAACCATGCGACTTAAACAATTCATACCTGTCCCATACTTCATATCACCATGATGATTAGATTATGTAAAAAACAAGTCATAACTGCACATGTAAATTTTGTTTTGTTCCAAATGCAAATTCGGTGGACATTTTGTGAATTCAGACATTCGGCTGCATCCGAATGTCCAAATTTCAATGAGGCTGAATGAAATTAATTTGCATATTCTTTTAACGAAATTTCGGAACATTCGAATTTCCTTCAAAATGAAACTAAATCAGACATGTTACCAATCAGAAAACTCCATCCAAAACTAAAACGAAATACTGAAAGATCTGAATCTGAATAATGAAATGAAACTACATTCGGACCCGAACCTGAAAGAAAGAAAAATCCGAAAGGAAACACATTTTTTGCCGGCTTACATGTCTACTCATAATACAAACTTTTACAACTCTGTCATGTTGTTAGACAATCAACTTCTACATTGACAAGTTTTATTACACAATGGTGACTAAATTAAAAGACAACTATGGCCTAACCTTTTTTAGGCTATAGTTCTCTTCAGGGTCACAGGAGGATATACTATATATATACTGTGACCCAAAACGCACCGCAGCCGGGACGGATCCCGACAGTATTGTTGGGATCCACCCTATTGGCTAATTGACAGCTGGCTTTGCCTCTCTGGAGGCAGAGCCAGCTGTGCATGCTCCCTTCCCCATCCATTCCTCCAGTCAGCACTGGAGGAACGGAGAGGGGAGGGGGGAGGGGAATCCCTGTGGTGATTTGTGACTGACAGTCACTGCTCTCTTCAGAGAGAGAATTGGGAAGCCAGCAATCAGCGGTATGTGTTCTCTGAGTTCCCAATCAATAGAGCCGACGTGTGACAGCTTCAGTGTCACAGGTCAGTTTGAATTATGGGGATGAGTGTTTTTCACTCACCCCATAATTCTCCTTTAAGGTAACTGAATAACCCCTGTGGCAATTAATGCCGGGTGACTGAGGAAGTCACTTGGATGAGTGGAGAAACATTTAGAACTTTATTAGAAAATGTAGTAGCATAAAAATCAAAAAGAATATAGACTGTTGCCTTTGCTAAAGGTCATAAATTCTACCGTGTGGCTTTGCATATGGAATTTTAAATAAGGATGCAAATGATGCTTGCAGAGATCAAATGTTTATTGTTTTTTTGGTGCATTAATATTTTACAATGTTCACTTAAAGCAGATGATTAAAAAATCTTCTTCCACTTTAACAGCCCAAATCAGACCAACCACATGTTTAGGTCTCACAAAGCTGAATCATCATCATTCATTTTGCATTGAATTGATCTCAAGAACTGGCTGGGTTTCTTTTTCACGACACATTTGTCTTGCTGTGTCAAATAAAACGAATATAAAAAATTATATTTTTCCACTTTCCTGTTAACATGATCATTTGAGACAGATTGTCTTGAGATCCGACAATTATTAATGCATCTGTTTTAAACTCTTTCAGATAAAATATGTGTGAGTGCTACAATGAAATAGGCAGGTATACACAGTATATTTAGACTACCACAGAACCTAACATCCTCGGAGTCAGTGTTTTCTCAACCTATTTTCAGTCATAGCACTTTTTAAAAGTCTGCAAAATCTTAAGGCACTCCAGTGCAAAATGTAAAAAAAAATGTGTGGTCCCTACAAAATCCATACCAGACCCTTATCCAAGATAGGAGTCTGGTGTGGATTTTAAGGGGAAACGCCATGCAAACACACAAAAAAGTAGGGTTCCCTTCATGTCAGAACACCTACTCCACAATAAGAGCTGCAGCTGCTGCAGCATGGCAGAGAGTGGCAGGCGGACTAGACCTGAGCAGATCAGGCCTGGACAGAGGTGAACTTCTGTCCTTCTCTGAATGGATTCCACACTGCCTGGATCAGTGTCATTCATTTACATGGTGCTGGTGGCACGCCCACTCACACCATGGAGAAGCATATTGCTACTAAGGTAGCCAGGAGGCACACCAGGGTTCTAAGGCACACTGGTTGAGAAAGGCTGCCCTAAGTTACATTGTAACTGCACTTCTTTAATAATTATCAGCCACTGCAATTGACTATATCTTTGAATATATATATATCCCACCTCAACCTAATCAATTATGTACATGATGTTTTATAACAATATATATATAGATATATAGATATTTTTCTTTTTTTTTGCATACACTTACAACAATTCAATTAGGTGATTGATGTAATTAAAATACATTTCCATTTCACATACATTGTTCTCTTTTATTATTCAACAGGATATTGATCGATGGTCATTTGACGTGTTTTCTTTAAATGAAGCTAGTGGGGAACATGCACTTAAGTTTATGGTCTATGAACTGTTTACACGATACGACCTTATCAATCGCTTTAAGGTAACTACATATTTTCTGATTTACTGAGAAATTAAGCTGCAGTAACCCCTAAGATCCAGTCACAATTCATCTTATAGTAAATTCTGACTTTGCAGTTTAGTGAGCAAACACAGTGCATCTGTGTTTGCTCACATTTAATCAGTCAGGCACCCAGGAATATTTATACATTTTCAAAAATATATAGCCCACCAATTCACTTGACTTTAATTATAAGAATAACTGGTCCCCTGCAACTTATTTGCTCCAGATAAGCTAAATCTTTAATTTTTTTTAAGTGTAACTCCAGCCCCCCAAAAAGTGTTGTTTGTTTTGGAGAACATAGGGAAGGGTTAGCCACCTGTAAAGTTTGTTTTGCTGTGTGTGCCCCTGTTCAGAAGATTTCACCTCACTTTCTGTCCCTGTGACAATTGGATTTTGAAAATTTTGGGTTGTCGTGGGAACAAGGATTGGTGATAAAGCTTCAGGGGAGACATGTTTTCCCATGATAACTCTTACAGGAGTGAATTTCTTGTTGACTCAAGGACAGGAAGTGAGATTAAATTCTAATGAGGATACAGACAGCAGTAAAAACCTCACAGTGACCCGGAAGAAGAGGTGGGCACCTCTCGTCTACACATCTAACAAGAGCCATCTTCATGTAATGTACGTACAGTACTACGAACCAGACCCAAAAAGGCGGACACTCCTCGTCGGCACGAGCACGATAGCATTACAACTACCCCTGCTGTACAGTAATAGCCTCCATTTGTAAGTAGGAGTCGTATGTAAGTCAAATGTATGTAACTCGGAGACTGCCTGTATTACAGCTTCACAAAGAAAACATTGTTTCCATATCTTAGTTAAGCGGCATTGTGCAGCAATACATTTCCTACAATGTGGATAACTTTAGATTTAACTGCTCTCCATCATTCAAAAATATAATGTGTAAATATAATGTGTAATGACATGTCAACCAAAAACTTTTTGTACCTTGCTAGCATTGCATGTTATTATTATTACTTATTCTTATATTATCTTCTATTGGTTATCTACAGATGATTGGAGTATAATGATTGCACATAACAAATTTTTGTTACTCTTTTGCAGATTCCTGTTTCTGGCCTTGTATCATTTGTGGAAGCTTTAGAAGTTGGTTACAGTAAATTCAAAAATCCATACCACAATTTAATTCATGCAGCTGATGTTACCCAAACTGTGCACTACATATTGCTCAATACGGGTATCATGGTAAGAAACATTTTCACAGAACAGAAGTGGAATATGCAGCACATTTTCTGTGTGTTAAGTATACTTATAGTGCACCTGTGCCCAGACTATGGACCATAAAGTCCTCACATATTCTTAATGTGCAGCAAAGGAGTTTTTTTTAAATCCCTGACCTCTCTAGCTGCAGGCACTATTAAGTAATTCATTCTCAAAGATTATCAAATATTACAACAGAGACTCTAAAGTCAGTTTTAGTTGATTTCTAACTGCTTAGAAACATCTGTTGTGTTTTTTTAATTTGATTTGCCAAGATCTGTTCTCATACCAAATTGCTAAGATTTCAGTACGTCAATTGTAATCTTTAAAGATTATCTCCACAGTGCCTAAAGCTACAGAGGTGAATGAGGGCTTGCTGCTTGTTCAGAAAATATAAATACTTAAGTGTGCATGATTTGGCTGCAGGTTCATTTCAATTAGGGATGCACCAATACTGTTTCTTCAGTATTGAGTACGAGTACAGATATTTTGCTTTCGGTACGTGCAGATACCGAGTACCAATACTGGTAATGACATGTCCCCCAGCTTCCTGATTGCCCGGAAAGCCGGCTTCATGTTGTTTGGCCAGCTTAATTGTGATTGGCCAGGAAACCGGCTTCCCAGCCAATCAGCATTGAGCCGGCATCCCGGGCCAATCAGGAAGCCAGGCGGCGAGTGATGACTCGCCACCCGGCTTCCTGATTGCCCCGCAAGCTGGCTCCATGCTGATTGGCTGGGAAGCCAGCTGCATGTTCTCCTACGGCACTGTTCCCGTATCGGGGAAGGTATCGGAGCATTTGGGCGAGTATGACTACTTGGCCCAAATACTCAGTATCTGCACTGACACCAATACTAGTATCGGTATCAGTGCATCCCTAATTTACTGTTTTTTCTTGATGTAATGGAGCAGGTTTTGAAAATCTTTCAGGTTATAATTGTCTGTGTCCATATTATGGAGCTTTCCCCTCTCTTTCTGTTTGGTGACTGTTTGCCACCAGGATAGGAAGCAAGGGGTAAGGACACAGACAGTAATCAAAACTATAATGGCCAGTTCACACCAGATGCAGTCCGTTCCATTTTGCAGCTGCATCAAAAATGCATCACAATGCATTCCCATGGTATTTCTTGTGCACTGTTCACAACAGTGCAGTCCATTCTGATCCAGGCAGAAAAAATACTGCTTGCCCTATTTTAGCTGCATTGGATTGTGACGGAATGCATCAAATGCATCAAAAATGCATGCAAATGCCTCGGAATGCACCTGAATGGACCTGAAATCCCATTTTAAGCAAAGAAAAACATCAATCGCGGTCAAATCGCGGTAAGATTGCAGCAAAACGGATCGCACTACAGCTGCACAGACGCATGCAGTTCTGGTGTGAACTAGCCCTAAAACTAAAAAATAACGTTTTGTCTACAGTTCTGCTTTAATTACTTGTAGTAACTTATAAACACTTATCTATTGAATGCAGTGGGGTTGTTTTACTAAAGGAGTAGTTAATGCTTTTAGGAAACTAAATAAACTGAAACTTTGTTCGCTAAGCTAAGTGACAATATTCACTTTTGGGTACCCAAACGTGTACAGGGGATGGGCAAGGTTGGGGATAATAAAAAACAATTCTGAAGAAGTGTTTACATACAGAAATCTCAGAAAGAGAAGAAACATTGGGGTTGATTTACTAAAGAATAGAGGCAATTCATTTAGCAATGGGAATGTTTAATAAGGTGAACATGTGTTCACTTTGAATACCCAGTTATGTTTGATAAAAGTGCTGAGAATATGACAATAGACAGAGAGACATGCGGGCTGTATAGCAGAACAGGAGTGTAGAGGGTATGACAACAGGCAATATGTGTAGGAGAAGAGTGCAGGGGTATGACAGTGGGCAATATTTACACAGGCAGAGTGCTGGAAGTATGCCTGCGGGCAGTATTTGTGGAAGAGAAGCGCCAATGGGTATGACAGCAGGCAGTATGTCCAGGAAAGGAATGCTGGTGGGTATGACAGCAGGCAGTATGTCTAGGAAAGGAATGCGGGTGGGTATGACAGCAGGCAGTATGTCCAGGAAAGGAATGTGGGTGGGTATGACAGCAGGCAGTATGTCTAGGAAAGGAATGCGGGTGGATATGACAGCAGGCAGTATGTCCAGGAAAGGAATGCGGGTGGGTATGACAGCAGACAGTATGTCCAGGAAAGGAATGCGGGTGGGTATGACAGCAGGCAGTATGTCTAGGAAAGGAATGCAGGTGGGTATGACAGCAGGCAGTATGTCCAAGAAAGGAATGCGGGTGGGTATGACAGCAGGCAGTATGTCCAGGAAAGGAATGCGAGTGGGTATGACAGCAGGCAGTATGTTCGGGAAAGGAATGTGGAAGGCATAACAATGGAGAGAATGTGCAGGAGAGAAATGGGAGGCTATTACAGCAGTTTGTTCAGGCTAAGAGTGCCAGAGGGTATGACAGCAGGTAATAGGTGTGGAAGATATGACACTGGAGGGGATGTGCAGGAGAAAAGTGTAGAAGGTATCACAGCGGAAAGGAGTGCAGGGGTATGGTAGTGGAGAGTATAGAAATAGATGTAGGATAGGATGTTTAAATATTCCTATTATATTTTTCAGAAAGCCTCAAAGGAGCTTTAGACTATTAAGAGGAGTTGTATATATCATTTGTCTGACAAATACTGTAATTTCTAGGACACCAACGCTGTAATTCTTGTTTGGAAATAACAAATATAAATGGGCTTTTTATGACAATATCTGTGATAATAATTTATCTCGCTTTGGCAGCACTGGCTCACAGAACTGGAAATTTTGGCAATGATATTAGCTGCTGCTATCCATGACTATGAGCACACTGGGACCACAAACAACTTCCATATACAGACGAGGTAAACAAACAAAAAAAAATATTAGCCGCATCTGCCAGATTTATATGGCTGTTGAGGAGCACACAATCATTACACCCTACCCTCTTGGCACACTTAAAGTGTATTTCCACTTTTGCTGCCATATTTGATAAAATACCTTTATATGTTTGTTATATGTTCCCATAACGAAAAATATTTTTTACAAAAAAACTTACCTTTTAGATGTTTGGTTGCAGCAGGTAAGATGACCGAATCCAGTTTTTTTCTCAGCACCTTTACAGTGATCTGTCCTTATAGAAAGACTTAGGACTGAAGTTTGAGGATTGTGTTTCTCTCATTAACTTCATTAACAAGCAAAGTAGAAGCAAGGATTATAATCATGTAATGCTTTGATAGTATAGGCAGTGCTCAAATCTACTTTAAAAATTATATTGAAAAAAGCCCCTCCCCTCGCAGTCTTTCTTGACATTACAAAGAAGGAGAAGCAAGTAGAAGTTTTAACCCTTAAGAACCCTAGAAACTAGGGATGCACCCATACCGATACTAGTATCGGTATTGGTGCCAATACCGAGTATTTGAGTGAGTACTCGTACTCGCAAAAAATGCTCTGATACCTTCACCAATACCTGAACTTCCGGTCAGAATGCAGTCCCATGGGGGAACATGGAGCCAGCGGCAAGTAATGACCCGCCTCCCAGCTTCCTGATTGGCCGGGAAGCCGTCTCTATGCTGATTGGCTGGGAAGCAGGCTTGATGCTGATTGACTGGGAAGCCAGTTGCCCGGCCAATCACAATCAAACCGGCCAAACAACATGGAGCCGGCTTCCCGAGCAATCAAGAAGCCGGGAGGCATGTCATTACCCACCACCCGGCTTCCTGGTTGTCCGGGAAGCCTTCTCCATGCCAGCAGAAGCACCGGTATTGGTACGGTGTCAGCGAGTACCGAGTACCGATACTCGTACTTGATATCGAAGAAACTTTATTGGTGCATCCCTAGTAGAAACCCTTACCCAATTAAAAAGCAATTTAAACTGAAAGCAGCAATTTAATATTACTTTTTTGGGCTTTAGCGCTGTGAATGGGACCATGTAACAAATATAAAATAGGTGTTATCCCTATTTGGCTGCAAAAGTGGAAATACATTTTAAATTATATGGATCATGTTTCTGCTGGTTCTGGCATTTATTAGAATTTTGGGACGCTTTTCATAGGACGCTTTTTATAGGATGTAGATTTTCATATATTTTCCAGAGTTCTTTCCCACTCTGTTATGGACATGGAGCCACAACTGCAGATTCAAAGGGAACATGCAACACAACTTCTCCCTTCAGCACTTTTATGCAGTGCAATCAGCAGTTACAACAAAGCAGTATTGTTCCTCCAAAGTGCAGTTCTATACATTAAAGGTCCATTCACACCAGACGCTGTGCTAACCGAACAGCGGCTGGTGTGCGGTGCCCTGGCACAGTGCCGAAGCTCTGATCCCAGGGCATTGCACTGTTATTTTTTTGTTAGAACTTTATTGAAATGTCAGAACTAACATTTCATTCAGTTCTATGAACACAGTTGGATGGTTTTACTGCGTCGCATCCCACTGCGCTGAAAAAAGTAAGTCATGCTGATGGTCTGAACAGACACCATCCGTTACAGGTCAAATTGCCTTAACTTGCTTTGAGGCTGTGCTGAAAACAATGGCCAAAGCAGTTCCAACACAGATGGTGTGACTGGACCCTTAGGCACATTGTATTCCATTCTTAAGGCAGAACAGTAATCCAAGGCTTACATACAGCAGGTGGCTTGAGGTGTGCTCCTTAAGCGTGCACCAGTGAGACTCCTAGAGATTGCTTCCCTGTAAGGGTACTGCCCTATCCAGATGCTGTGTGCAGAACTGTGCAAGACCAGAAAACTGGGAACCGCTTGTACTGAGATACCAGCCCAACTCTAAGGATACCAGTAAGCGTTCCTGCCAGTGGTGTATTTTGTTTTTTTGCAGCCCTAGGCAAGACTAAACTCAGGCACCCCCACCCCCCAATCTAAATTTTCCCCACCCCTTCTTGCTTAAGACATTTTGCATAACCTGTCAGTTGCTTGATATAGTGCACATGCTGTATCCAGCTTCTGACAGGTTGCACTATTAGCAATGCAGAATACCACCATCTATAGAGGCCTACAAATCCCAGCAATACATTATGCAACAATGCAAGATAATATGATGCTACATACTCTGTGTTGATCCAGGGTGGCGGACTGATGTCCCTAGGGTCTCAGGTAGGCTGTGCGGGCTCTCAGGTGGATGTGGGGCATCTCAGGTGGGCTGTGCGGGTCTCAGAAGGCTTACAGGCTTTCAGGTGGGCTATGTGGGTTCTCAGGTGCCCGTGCAGGGTCTCAGATGGGTCGTGCGGGGTCTCAGGTGGCTGTGCTGGCTCTCAGATGGGCTGGGCGGGCTCTCAGGGGGCTGTGCAGGCTCTCAGGTGGGCTGAGTAGTGTCCCAGGTTGGCTATGCAGGGTCTCAGATGGGTTGTGCAGGGTCTGAGGAGGCCGGGCGATCTCTCAGAGTCTAAGGTGCAGGGTGTCAGGTGGGTTGTGCAGGGTCTCAGGAGGTTGTGCGGGCTCTCAGGTGGGCTGTGCGGGCTCTCAGGTGGGCTGTGCTGGGTCTCAGGTGGCTGTGCGGGGTCTTTCGAGGGCTGTGTTTTGGCTCTCACCAGGGGTGTGTGGGGTCTTAGGAGTACTGTGCAGGGTCTCACCAGGGATCCGGATGGTCTTGTGGGTGGGTGTGGTTCCACAGAAAGAAGGAAATGTGCGTCTGGCGTTGTAAGCCACGCCCCAAGGTCCCCAGAAGACACATAACATTTAGAACATTTAAGCTTCAATTATTTATTGTCATGAAAGGGTTAAAATTCTTTGCCACTGTTTATTTTTTTTGTTTAGGTCAGATGCTGCAATATTGTATAATGATCGCTCCGTACTAGAAAATCATCATGTCAGTGCTGCCTATCGTATAATGCAAGAGGACGACATGAACATTTTGGTAAATGTATCCAAAGATGACTGGAGGTAAACCAGAAGTTCTTTGAATAACTTTTGATTCCTATTCCACTCAGAGGACCCTCAGAATTACTGTATTATCTAATCTATGATAAAGTATGTTTGTTTTTTAATCGTTCATCAAGGGACACAGAATCAGAAGAATCTGAGAGGATTGGTTTATACTGTTGCCTTTAGGAGGAATGGGACACTGGCAAACAAAACAGCCATTGGACAGCCAGGTATAACCCTCTCAATCCCATAATGTTTCAGTTTTATGCCAGTGTCCTAGGAGTGTAGACGTCTTTTCTTCTCAGAGAAAAGTATATCAATTTTTACCTTTTTATCAAGTTTTTTTTTCTTCAATCAAAAGTCTTCATTATACTGCAGAGCTGAGCTCGTGCTGCAATTATGCGGATTGGCTAATCATCGGAGTTGCCTTGGAGACCACTCCCAGACCTTGCCATGATGAAGTGGGGGGCCTGCCTGCAATGTGACCCTTAGGTACTTGGCACAGGTTGTAGCTCTCCCCAGACACCTAGTGTACTAGTTTGGTAGCCGCAGAGGGCTTTACAGGTACAGGGCCATAACACGGCCACTGGTGTGATCAAGATCCCTGAAGACTCCCTTGGGATTATACTCACAGTAAGGGTGTAGAATGCATGGAATATGGCATAGCTTATGGCACTCTCAGGTATTTATGTATTGTGCTTGTTCACCACAGAACGTGCTCCAAGCTTGCGACTATGGTAAGTCTGGCTCTTGCCCCGTATAAGGCTACTACAATTCTTCTGTTCTTACCCTGAAAGGGTTGATGCACTGGAAAATTGAGTGTTGAGTCACTAACAGCTGTATTGCATGTGTAGTCACACTGCTTCTTCCAAACTTTCAATGTGAGTTAGTAAGCTGGCTTCCACTGCTGCTTTGTGAGTACCCAGGGTGATTTGTAGTATAATTTTTAGTTGCCGTAGTGCACAGTTTGTTGTATCCTAAACACAAAGGGAGTAGTTTCATGGGCCTTTCCAGCTCACCTCTAACAACTTTGTGGTGGCCAGCAGTGTTGCTCCTAGAAGATCTGATGTGGAAAGCTTGAATTACTATATATCCCTCAAGGGGACTATCTGGCCTCTGTGGACAAGGATGCACACATCTGTCCAGTGTATTAAGGCTAATTATGATTTGCGTGGGCACACAATACTACCAGTTTGTTGACTTCCACTTGGTCTGGCTTTCACTCAACAAATATTCACCAAGGCCTTAGCTATAATGCTAGCCTTGCCAATACTTGCAGAGCCTTTCCATTGCGGGATATCTAGACAACTTTCTGCTGGGAGAAAAGATGACACACAGACTCTGTCAGACAATGTCAACCTGACCTGTCCAGAATCTACAAAGATTTGGTTGGATTCTGAACCTTCAGATGTAAGAGCTGGAATTAATACATCACTTATAGTATCTGGGTCTGATCCTTGATACTGCACAGTTAAGAGCCTTTCTTCCACAAGAGAAAGTGCTAACTCTCATAGCCCCAGTTTCGGACCCTACAGTCCAACAATCTAGACTGTTGCTACTTAACATTCTGGCTGTGTACAACAAGAAAGTACACTCAGTGGACCTACAAGCATGAGTGACACACAGGACAAGGTTGCCTCAGGCCTAGTGTCTTAGGAATGCAGCTCTGGAAAAGCCTTGCATCTGTTATCATGGAAGATTCTTAGGACAGATGCCAGCCTGACTTGCTGGGAAGGAGTCGTAGATACCCTGTCAGTGCAGGGGACATGGTCGCCGGAAGAAGCTCATCTCACTATCACCATTCTGGTACTCCAAGCATTTCAACTATTCCTTCAACTCTGGACTCATCGATTGCATGGTTATCCAACCAGGATTCAGTCAGACAATGCCACAGCAGTGTTCTACATTAACCATCAGGGAAGAACCATAAGTCTTGCTGTAAAAGAACAGTGGAATAAAGTCTGTCTTGGGCAAAACTTCATGTTACAGCCTTGTCCACAAGTCACATTTTAGACATTATGATTGGCAGGCAGGCTACCTTAGCTGGCAGCACCTGGACCTGGAGGAATTGTACCTACACCCAAAAGTGTTTCAGGACCTGTGTCATAGGTGGGAAACACTGGATGCAGACCTCCTGAGCTTCTTTTGTGTGTTCTCCTTTGTCTGCTCCGCGGGATTGAAAAAGAGGGCATTCTGGTGGTTTTAATAGCATTGGACTAGCCCAGACAGATGTAGTACTATGACCTTGTCAGACACCTAAAAAACACCCAGTGGGCTCTAACAGATCTTCTGTCTCAGGAGCCGTTTTAAAACCCTACTTCACAGTCACTGGCTTTGATGACATGGTTATTGAAGCCCAGGTCCTAAGAGATTAGGGTCTCTCTAAATTGGTAATTCTTATGCCCCTAAAAGCTAGGAAGTAGACATGTGCACCTGCAAAAAAATAGTTTCGTTTTGTTTTGATTTGGAATTTGCGTTAGTTAGTTAGTTTTTCGGGATTGGGGTCCGAAAGTCAATTTGTTTCGGACGAAATCCGTTAGTGGTAGTCTGTATGACGTTTCGTGTTCGTTTCGTTCGTTCATTCCATATGAAAAGTATTATGACACCGCTGCTCATAGACCCCAATGGCATTTGGGAGCTCCCGAATGCTATGTGGTATTTGACAGCTGAGAATGTATAATGGGCGGAGCGAGCCGTGACGTCAAGGCTCGCTCCGCCCATCTGTTTACTTTTGGGCTGAATGTCATTTTGCGGCGCGTTGTCGTTGTGTTCGGACGGTCGTTGTGCGGCGGGACTTTTTTTTTTATTTCGGCGGGTCATTGGGTGTCCTGCATGGTGATTGACGCTGGATTACATCAATGGAGCCATTTTTATTTTTTTTAATTAGAGGAATAGTCAAAAATTTACTCTGTTTTTTTTTCAATTAAAAGATTTTTTCTGGTTTGTTTGAATTTGAACTCTTTAGTGAATGGGTAGGGGTACTCCTTACTCATTCATAAGGGGAGGAGTGGCAAATGGGTGCCCCCTTAATTAAAGGGGTACCCCGATGCAAAGAAGCCCCCTTGCCCGCAGACCCCCACAAACAGGGTTGTGGGGAAGAGGCCCTTGTCCCCATCGGCATGGGGACACCGTCCCCATGCCGAGGGCATGTGGCCCTCCCCCCTTTCCTGCCCTGCCGGGCCTGTGCTCGGATGAAGAGTCTGGTAGGAATGTTAGGGGGGACCCCACATTTTTGTTTCCCCATTTTTGGGGGCTGGGGTTCCCCCTTACAATACCTACCAGACCTAAAGGGTCTGGTATCAATTGGGGGGGAACCTCACACTTTTTTTTTTCCTCTTCTGCAGACTGTAAAAAACAAAAAAAATCTCAAATGTCACTTTGCTGCAACGAAACGAACACGAAACGAAAACGGAAATTGGTACAGACTGCTGCTAACGAATTTCAAAATCGGAAATTCGGATTTGTTTGCATTCGTTTAAGCTATCATTCGGAATTCGGATACATCTGAATCTCCGAATTTCCGTACGAATTTTGATTCAGAACGAATCGCACATGTCTACTAGGAAGCCCACATCATGCAGTGTCTATAATTGAAACAGAATGCATACTCCTCTATGTGGATCCTAACCTTTCTACAATCTAGTCTCAATCAACATTTAACCTTGAGTACAATCAAAGGACTAATTTCATCATTACTTCAATGACCACTTACTTCTCACTTCCTAGTAAATGCTTTTGTACTGGGTGCTGTCCTTGTAGTTCTACCTGTACAACCTCAAGTGATTCAATTGGATCTCAACCTAGTTCTCTTGCTCTTCAGGAATGTCCCTTTGAACCTACCAGGTACATTCCTGTATCAGCTCTCCCCCACCAGGGGCGGATCCAGAGTCCAGTCTTGGGGGGGGCACTGCCAGAAAATAAGCCCCCCATCTGGCTCTTCCACTGCTACTGTGCCACCCCTTTCCTCCCTCACTGCCTATGTGTCCACTCCCCCCCGGCTCCCCCCCTCTTCCCCGGGGTACAACGCACTCAACTGGCCTCTCCTTCTAGGATATTTCCGCCGCTGCCAGCCTTGGGTGGTCTGTACTCACACAAATTAGGCAGCTGCAGAGCCCCTGCGTGGGCCGAGATGGCCGCCTAATTTGCCTGACTACAGTGCAGCCTCTGCTTTTGGTCCCGATTGTCCAGGGCAGCCGGCCGGGCCCAGCAGAGGGGCGGAGGGAGCGATAATAATAAACGCAGACTGCAGAGGTTAGTAATGTAATGCAGACTGCGGAGGTCAGTAATGTGACTAGTGCGGAGGTCAGTAATGTGACGCAGTGCGGAGGTCACCGGTGTAAGATAGAAAACGGAATTACAGTGGTGATGTGCTCTGTCCTCATGCTCTCTTCTTCCTCTCCGGGTGGCGTTGGGGGAGGGGCAAGCATCAATGTCTGTGAAGCTTCTCCTTGTCACTTGCAATATGTGCGGCACGTACGTTTTCGCACATAGGCGTGTATGTGGGGGGCAGGGACTTAAAAAAATGTTTTTATTTTTTTATGCTTCTTTATTTTTTTTATGATTCTTTAAAGGAGAACTATGAGGTGAGTGATTTTCACTCATCCTCATAGTTCTTGCCGACCTGTGACAATGACGCTCGCTCACTTCTCAATCCTGTCACTGCAGAGAGCTGTGACAGGGGAGGGACTGGATTCCCCCCTCCTCGCTCCGATCCTCCAGTGCTGACTGGCGGAACGGATGGGGGAGGGGGTGGGTACAGCTGGCTTTGCCTCTAGATAGGCAGAGCCAGCTGTCACTCACGCAGCTGGGCGGATCCAGACATAATTGTCGGGATCCGTTTCAGCTGCGGCGTCTCAGTATACCGCAAGATACTGAGCTTTGGGTGATTAGTTTCTGTCCTCCCGTTACCCTTAGGAGAACTATGGGGAAAAGCCCTAACCCCGTAGTTCTCCTTTAATTTTTGTATTACACACAACTTTATTGCTATTACATAGGGGGCTAAGAAGCCCCCTATGTGATAGCCAATTTACATGACATGTCCTCTTTATCGAGACATCAGGGGTCTCCAAGACCCCCAATGTCACCTAGGGATCCCCAGAGAAGCTGATGAAGCAGACATCTGCTTCATCAGCTTCTGTAGCTGGAGAGTGACACTGAATGCAGGAAGTGATGTAATATACATCACTTCCTGCATTCGGGGACTGAGAGGAGATCAAAGGGAGTTCATAAACCGTGCTGGTCCCGGCCGCATCGGGCACAGCGGATCTCGGGACCGGCAACGGCAGTGACAGCTGCTAATACAAGCGATCGAGCGTCTCTAGAGACGCCCGATCGCTTGAATGTAAAGCTCCCAGCCGGCCGTGTAATTACAATGGCCGGCCGGGAAGCCGCTCGTCGGGCTCCACCGTCCTCTCGCCACAGACGAGCGGACGAGTGGATTTTTCAAGCCCTGCCTATGATCCTCGCACACGGCCAGGACATACAGCTGTTACAGAGTTAACTGCTGTTCCGTGTAAAAAACCAGCATATTACTTGTACTGTGCCGTTTTTTTACACTGAACCGCAGTTAACTCTGTGACAGCTTGACAGCTGTATATCCCGGCCGTATGCGGGGATGTACTCCTGCCACTCGTACGGTACCGCAGGTGGGAGCATCTCTATCTGGGGGGCAATTGCCCCGTTGCCCCCCCCTCTGGATTCGCCACTGTCCCCCACAAGGTTTCTATCCATATTGTCATCACCTCAGCGAGGGGAGTGTCTGACTTACCTTGTAAAGAACCTTTACTTATACTCCTAAAAGATAAGGTGTCTTGAGGCCTAGAGCCTCCTTTCTCCCTAAGGTGGTTTCTGCTTTTCACCTTAACCAGAACATTGTGCTTCCCCTTTGTCCAACTCCTGTACATCCTAAGGACGTTTTTCTCCACTGTTTGGACATAGTTAAAGCTGTTCATATTTATCTCTCAGGTACATCTTTCTTCAGACAGACTGATGCTTTTATTTTCATTCATCGAGGTCCTTGTAAGGGACAATCTGCTTCTTGCACCACCATCTCCAGGTGGCTTTGGCAGATTATCATACAAGCCTTGAGGCTTAAGGATAAGGTCAAGTCAAGTCACACTCTACAACAGGGCTCAAAATTTCAAGTTCTGAGCTACTAGCCAGGCCTTAAGAGTCACTAGCCACCAGTTGCCCCACCTAACCATTACACTGCCCCGACCTTAACTCCGCCCCTAAACACACCCTCTTAAATAATCTTATGATAATTCTTATTTTAAGATAGTTGCCGCTTGTAAACGGCAGATTGCTGCTGCAGAAAAACGCAAGTTCCTGACACAGGTATCTCTAATCACACCTGAAATATACTGTAAGTGTTAATGGGGCCTAATATACACATACACTAAAGGTGTCCATACACCTGTTGATTATCGTACGATAATCGCGGTTGATCCCGCGATCGTACGATAATCGGCAGGTGTATGGGCAGTGTGCGACCGCTTCTACTGTAAGGTCGTATGACTTTCTTCTTCCAAGCACGCTGGAAAACCTGCCGAAAACCATACGATTTTTGGCGGGTTGGTGGCGTGGTCGGAAGACGAATGGCGCACAGGCCGGTGTGCGCAGGCGCACACTGCCCGCTCAGCACTGCAATCATCGGAAGCCCCGCCCCTCAGCGGGGAGGGCTTGCGATGATCGCAAGTACGATCTGCCGGTCCAAGATGGGCAGATCGTACAAGATTTTAATGACCTTACAACCATCGCATAACGAAAGTCGTGTGATGGTTGTGTATGGCCAGCTTAAAGCACAATAATACACTGCTCAACAACGTTACACCTCCCCCTGCACAAATATAATAATAAAATTCCCCCGCACACAAAAAATAATACACTCCCCACTTATTAACCCCCCCACACACATAAAATAATATACTCCCCCCTTATTAACCCCCCACCATAAAATAATACGCTCCCCC